TTATACATCTGTACATAATCCAATGGAAATGTATTATACAGGAATGTGGGAGCTATTGAATGGAACATTATAATCACTATTCTGGTTTATTGAAATTGAAAAAAAAATAGAAGCATGAAAATAATGAGGAAGAAAAGGTGTGGGAGAAACAAATCACCTATTAGAAAGCAGGAGAAATCACAGCTGAAGGAAAATATCAATGAGACAAAAGCATTCACTCTGTCTTCGCACTTGGAGCCTGATTCAGGTTCTGGACTCCAGGGAATGTGAGTAAGAGAGAGTTTGTGTGAGTCAGTTGGGTGAGTCTTGGCTGGGGATGTGAGAATCCTTAGAGAAGCAAAGGAGATTCCAGTGGGAAGAAATCAGTTTCAATAAGTTATCATGGCATGTGTAAAGGACAGCACAACTCCCAACAACCTCTGAGCACCAGCCGTGTGTCCTCTTCATGGACCCAGATGGTGTTCAATATCAGATGTGACCTTCCCTCCTCCTGAGGACAGGGGTCCCCTCATTCTTCAGCTGAGGACATCACCTGACAGTTGAGCAGCAGGCAGCCCCAGGGGCTCCAGGAGGTGATACTGACTGGGATGGAGAGTGAGAATGAACATGACCCAGCTTTTTAAGGAAATCTGAGCCCAAATGAATCCCTGTGAAATGGAAACTGAGGACATGGCTGTGGACATGAGTGGAGATGATTAACTAAATGGATTTTCATAAAAGAGACTGATGTGAATACTTTCCGTGTGAAAGTTGCCCTTGTTTTCAAAAAGAATCAAAAAAAAAAAAAAAAAAAAAAGGGGAGAAGTAGTAGCTGCACGTGTTACGAGACTTACTCGTAGGCCCAGGATTTACACTGTTACTGAGTGTACCTCATAGGTTATCACTGAAGAAGAGGAAGAAAACTGGCAGAGGAGTATGTGTGAGAAACGAAGGGAAGAGGGGTCTCTATAAAACAGACAGTGTCACATTTGCTCTACCTCAGAGAAGGCATAGTCTGTGAAGTCACTTTCTATATGTAAATTAGGCAGAAAGACAAGCGGATTAGATAACAGCTATTTACAGGTTTATGCAGCAATCGTTATTGAATCAGGCCCTTTGGAAATTATAATAATATGCTCAAAAATTATTACAGGTAGATACTATTTTTTAGGTAGCTCTCATGAGGAAACAGAGACTTATATCCCCAAAAGACAAATTCTTAGGCCAAAATGAACAACCAGAAAGAGGCAAACACAGGACCTGAGAGCAGAGTTTGTCCTAAGGCCCAGGCTCTTGCTCACCTCACTGGGTTGGAGCATTCTGGATTTCAACTTGACCCTGAGTGAGCACGGAGAGGCCCCATTCTCTCCTTCACATATAGCACCAAGATGACCAATACCTGGATTAGAGCTTCTTATCCCCTTTCCTTCCCTACCTTGAGAGGTACATAGTGTCCCAGAAAAAGCATTACCTGTAAAGTTGCAGGTGGTGGAGGAAAGGCCCCGCCTGGCTAAGCCATTCCCACAGTCGAACCCCTGATCCAGCTGTAGCCCGAGACAATTGGGCACCAAGGTGTTTGACTCCGGCTGTGTCTGTGAAGTCTGCCCCTCTGACAGGTAGTAGCTCAAGTGTCCACTGCAAGTCCCTTGGGGACAGGTCTCGTGGGTGGGAGCTGAAAGGAGAAGGGGCTTCAGTAGAAACAATCTCAGTTTTCCCATTGTTAAATGCATGCAGAACACCCATCTTTGCTGTCCCTCCTACTCACAAAAGTAATCGAGTGACCCAGACCACACAGACAGACATCATGTAAATGCAGGTGACGTCACCTTTGCTGTCTGTGCCTGGGGAAGCTGACACGGGCTACGGTTCCAGGGCTATGGTGTCCCTGCAGTGAAATAGTTGTGCAAAACTGCCTGCATGTGTGGTTGGCCAGAGAAGAGATAATTGCCCTATCGAAGGCATGTAGTTAATAACATAATTTCAGAAAGGAGAGATTCTAAATCTTAAAGAAGTAGATTTGTTGTGCAAATGTATCTAGATGAACTACTGCGTGCAAGAACTTGCTAAAAGGCCTAACCTCTTTCCAGCTTTCATGCCCACAGCCTACTGTTGTAAGAAAGAGCCAGGTGACAGAGGAGTCACTTGGGACAGGAGTAGAGGAAGTTTCATCCTCTGGATGTACATCATAGCTGGATCCCAGAGCCAGATTGAAAACAGGCTCAGTGTAGATGGCCTGCCTGCATTGACAGCCTGTCTCAGCAGCACAAGGTGCAGAAAGAAAACGTGGGAAGACACTGAAGCTTTGTGACCTTCAGGCTGGAGTACTCACAGGCTACATCCAGAGCAGAGCATGTGAGCTGATCATCCAATGTGGACAAGATGCCGCTATAAGGCTGGTGACAGTCAGACAGGTCACGTTGAACTGAAGGAGTCAAGTAAATTTCTTCAAAGGAATCCTCTGGGACTTCCTGGTCCTTTACCTCTGGAAGCTCCTGGCTCAGCCTGGAGTAAAGAAGACAAAAGATAAACACTGACAGGACCAAAACCACTGCACACAACTGGTTCCATAGGGAGGACCACAGGAGAGGCCAGAGGAAGCCAAGTACAGTGCCCTCAGAGAGACACAATCATTCTTCCCTATCTCAAGCAGGAGACAGAGCGGCAGGTGCTCAGTGCCCTGGGAAGACAATGAGCTGTAAAGGAAGTAAATGGAGGGATCCCAGTGCAAAACTGCCAGGACACAGTGCATTCAGCACTTCTGCATACATTTCGTTGAAACTAGCATCAGAGGCCAATTGAATACAGGTTCTTGAATCTTCACAGAAATAGTTTCTTTATCCTCAACATCACTTGGTATCAAAACTAGGAGCATGACATGAGCTATTTTCATTCCCTTTCCTTCTATGAAATACTTGCAAACATGGTAATGCCAAAGAGGCAGACATGAGGTGAGATCAGGAAATCCCTGAGCTTGGTCAGTTCACCTGGCTTAACTGATTGTGGGTTCCTATGCTTGAGAGGGATTAAGAAATTGAAACCTATTTAACTACCACAATAAAGACAACATTTTTAAAGGGGTACTTTGCAGTTTGATGGAAGGATGAGATTGCTCTGTTCATCACTTCCCATCCAATTTTCTCCTGGATCCCTGGTCTCCAGGTGTCACTATTGAGCTAACAGCCCACAAATCCACAGTTACCTGGGGGGCACTGGTGCTTTCCCTTCCTCTTTCTCATGATCCTTTTGATTTCCTGTAAAGAAATTCAGAAGAGCAGGTCACAGTAAGCAAATCCCACTTCACACAAGACCAAATCAGTGTCCAGTCATAGCACAGAGACATCGATATCCTCAGTGTAAGAATGTGATATTCTGACAGGAAGATTCTAGTGTGGTCTAGATCAAGTGTTTTCAGAAGTAGATGAGCCTGCTTTCCAGACCCATGGGACAGAATTTCCCTCATCTAATAGATCTTATTCACATATCCTCTGACCTAACTCTGTGCAAACAATTAAAGAAAACTTTTTCCCCATGATCTTTAAAAAGGGCCCTAACTATTCTTCAGAAGTGTTGCTGCAATACTGATTTATCTCACTATATATTCTGGTCGATGAATTCTTAGAGCAATTTATATTTCTCCTGGTAGCAGGGTGACTGCCTAGCTAAGACAAGCTGACTCAAAGGAGACCAAGACTGAGGCTGAGAAGAATGACATCAGGGAAACAACATCTTTAGATATGTAGGCAAGGCTGTCTTTGACAGTGGCCTTGGACAAGCATAAAAACTCCATGGACATCGTGCAGGGGCACAAATTACATCATTACAGGTGGCAAGAGACATAGGAACCGAGCTAGGCAGCACGACAGATTACTTCTGTACACCTTCTGTACACAGGTGGCTATGAAGTTGTCCCACCTGCCTATGGTCCACTTACCTGATATTGGGGCCAGAGAGAATTGGAAAGCTATCTGACCCTCTTGTATTTATATTAAATATTCCATCCTAGTGCTTCCTCCTTCCCTCCCTCTTTTCTCTTTCACTTCCTTCCATCCCTCCCCCTCCTTCTCTCTGTACCTACTTCCTTCCTTCCTTCCTTCCTTCTTTCCTTCTTTCCTTCTTTTATTTTTGAGACAGGGTCTCTCTCTGTCACCCAGGGTGGAGTGCAGTGGTGCAATCATGACTCACTGCAGCCTCAACTTTCTGTGCACACATGGTTCTCCTACCTCAGGCTCCAGATTAGTTGAGACTACAAGTGAGAACCATCTTGCCTGGGTAATTTTTTAGATTCATTGTAAAGATGGATTTCACCACATTTCCCAAGCTCATCTTGAACTCTTGAACTCAAGTAATCCATCAACCTGGGCCTCCCAAAGTGCTGAAATTACGGATGTGAGCCACTGCCCCCAGCTTCATCCTAGTTTCTGATTCAAATCAATAGGGTTGTATACAGCCTGTCCTCAGAATTGATCTTCCTTAGCCTAGACAGAGGTATGAGGGACAAAGAATATAGAGGCTACCTGGGAGAATGTTTGAAGTTTCCTCCCCTTCATCCTGAGAGCATTCACTGTCTACAAACAAAGCAGGGTCGACTTTGTCTCCCTCAAATGTGACTGTGGCGCTCCTGTGAGGCTGGTTGGAGTCAGAAGTTCCACGGCTGTTTGGACGAGGGACAGCACATTCCTCCAGTGAGTCCTGAGGGACTTCCTTTTCCTCAGCCTTCTGCACTCCTCTGATGAGCCAGGTAGGATAGAGATGGCAAAGATTAAACCAAGAGGGATTGGACCCCAGGAGTTCCCAGCTGGTTTTGACGGGAGGCATAAGGCAGTGGTCCCAGAAAGCAAAGGGGAGGTTCCATTTAAGACAGAACAGGAAATCCTCCTCTATCTGCAACAGAGCATGGCTGCCTTGGGAACCAGAGCAGAAGAGAGCAGCTGATGTTCATTGTACTGGACAGGCAGGAGCTAAGGAAGGCAGAGGCTCAGCTGCTTCTGTATGGTACAGTCTTAACAGCACTCAAACAGAACCAAAAACAGCTGCCACACCGTGTGTCTAAGCTGGGTTGTATTTAACACGCTGTGGCCAAGGGAATACAGGTTGTCTGAGCCTTGGTAGACTCCGGAAATGGTGTGCCTTGTAGATTTTTTTTTTTAAATTTTAACACTGTGATGTGAAATGTAAAGTTTTCCTGGGCACTTTTCTTGGTGTTTAACTTTGGTAGGTTCTTCCTAATTCCTCTGCTTGTTGTCTCTTTGTTATTTATCTTTCCTAACAAGAGTCTAAGGACAACCATGTGGAGAGTGGCTTTCCCTCTCGTCCTGGCTTCACTACAAGGGAGGACAGGTCTCCTGTGTGTGTGCAGGAAGTCTCTAGGGCTAGTGAGGATATCGAGGGTCATGCTTACAGGTGCCATGAAGACAATGGACAAGCATGTTAACACGGCTATTTCCTTGTTGGTGAGTGCATGAAATCAGTGCACTCTGCAGCTGTCTGTATCCTGCATCTACAATCTGTGACTACCTTCACCCACCTGTGTTCTTTCTGAGATCTTTTCCATATTTTCCCACCCATTACCTGCTCCTGATTATTCAGTGTTACCTGGGGGCAGGTGATTCCTGTACTTTCTCGACCTCCTCATCTGTAACACCTTCATCTTCATCTTCATCACTTTCTACAAATACAGAAGCATCTATTCAGATATTTCCCACTTAACCCACTGGAAGCACAGTCAGCCCTATGTGCACTGAGACATGAACATCCATGTATGGGTCTGCATTGTACTGAAAACTCTCCTGTTTATCTCTACAACATGCCCTGGCATGTTCTCCTGATTTATGAGGGAATGTGTTGCTGACCTGGAGGGTCACCATCAAGATGTGGCCAAATATTGAAAAGACTTCTTGCTCCCCATATTACTGGAGGCTCGTCCAGCCTCTCTCTAAGCTTCAGCAGCTGTCTCCTCAATCCTGCCACTGTTCTGATACCCAGGCACAGGCTCTGTGTCCTGTCACAGCTTGCATTACAACCTGTATCTTTCTCTTAGGACAGTACAAACCAACTTGTGCCACAATACTCTGGGGACTTCATGTCCCACTTACATTGGGGACTTCGTGGGCTCTCCAAGTGACTTCCACTGTGCTACCCAGGGACACTCTCTCCATGGGGAGTGCTCCAGTCTAGACCACTTCCTACCACCAAATGCCCCCACATCAGGTGCCTTCTCCAACACCACACTGCAAGGGGCTTTATCTCATCATGAAATATAGTCGTAAGTGTTCCCTCATTTGAATGCAAGAGACAATTTGTCTGCCTTTACAGATTTAGAGACAGGAACTCAGGAAGGATAAATTAATCAGTTCCTCACAGTTGCTAAAGACATTGCTGAAGACAGAGCCTGGGAACCTTCATTCTTAGTCCAGGGCTCTTTTTACTTTAACAAGCTGCCTCCTGTCACAGCCTCCTTCCTGTCCTTTAAAACTGGACAGATGCTGCCTCTTGCCCCGAAGACCATGTTCCAGCAAGACACGAGGGGACATTTGCAATCCTGTGACCTGCAACCCCATGGATTACCCATTTCTGGTTTTGCCCAGGAAGTCCTGGCCATGTCATGGATACAAATTCTTAGTGGAAAGCAAGCCTACCCATGAAAGTGTCGTTGTAGAGGTGTGGAGGTCTGGAGACTTTTATAAGCCTGGGGCTCTGTGTCATCAGGGCCTGTGTCCACTTTACCTGGGCTGAGCTTGTTGACAAGACGCTCTGCCAGCCTGTGCCCCTCAGCCAGCTGCACCTGGAGGTGCTGATCCTGGGACTTGTCAGGGTCACCAGGAGTGAGGAGGGCCTTCAGATGCTGATACAGTGAGCGGGAGGCATCTCTCCCTTCCCGTAACTTCTCCCGTAACTGGGTCAGCTCTTTTGCCTGAGAGTGGACCAGGGCTTTATATTGCCTATGGTGAGATAACAGAGAATGTTTAATAACGGAAAGTGATGAGTGATCAGTTCTAATACTGCAACGGAGGTTTATGTGAGAATGTCCTCAAGGAGCCCTCCAAGCAGAAGGTCAAAACACGTTTGGGGAAATGCCTGTGTCCAACATATATGTACATACATACATATATATATATATATATATATATATATATATATATATATGTATGTATATTTGACAGGGCATGGTGGCTCACACCTGTAATTGCAGCACTTTGGGAGCCTGAGGCGAGCACATCAACTGAGGTCAGGAATTCAAACCCAGCCTAACCAACATGGTGAAACTCTGTCTCTACTAAAAATACAAAAATTAGCCAGGCATGATGATGGATGTCTGTAGTCCCAGCTACTTGGGACTGCTGAGACAGGAGAATTGCTTGAACCTTGGAAGCAGAGGCTGCAGTTAGCTGAGATTGTGTGACTACACTACCGCCTGGGTGACAGAAATGAGACTCCATTAATATATATATATATATATATATATATATATATATATAAATACATATATGTTGTATTTATATATACAATGGCTTCCTCTGTATCGGAGAGGGCTCCTGTAAGATCATTTGTGATTTTCGATTCATTTATTTCTTCTGTAAACAGAAGTCATTGTATTCTTAAGTCACTGACAAGGGGGTGTTCTTTTAGCTCCCCATTTTGGCCATGGATATTTCTATGTGAAAATTCACATAGTGCATCTTGCAGTGATGGGAAACAGAGCTGTACACAGAAATGTGGCCAGGTGCAGATGGGGTGATTTAGAAAGATGAAAAAAGAAAGGAATGGCAGGTCAAGAAGGCAATATTGACTGAACGAATGACTTGCTGCAGTCATTCAGGAGGTGACTGACTAAGAGTAAATGGACGGTGATCACACACCATTTTGAGTGTATTAAATGCTGCTGGGTGATTCATTTTCTTTTAATTAATTTTGGATATGCAAATTGCAACTTAACAATTAGCTGTTTTAAGAAGAGAAAACAAAGCTCAAGAAACAACTGCAACCCGTAACTTGCTAAGATTACTGTTCTGTTTTATGAGTGTTTGTGTGAAATGTGCCTGCCATGGAAATGCCTGCCCTTGTCCTGGACCAGCTTAGCTCCTGCTTCTCCCAGCTGAACTGCTGCACTTCAAAGATCACACTCCTGCCCACCTGCCTGTACCCACAGCGTCTGCTCACCTGAGCTCCTCAGCTTGCCTGAGCTTCTCTGCCAGCTTCTCCTCTATGAACTGCACTTCATCCCTCAGCACAGAGTCTATGATGTCTTTGTCCTCTTCACACTCTGAGAAGAGACAGTCATGCCTGCCTCAGTGGAAGGCTGGACATGCTGGTGTGGTCACTGCCTGCAGGGCAGGTGGCAGTGTCTATCCTAAGGACAAAAGCATCCCCAGTACCAGATTGTAGTGAGGGATTTTTTTCATTTTTCCTTATCAACCTCCCAAATTGCTCGCATCTGACATTCTTCAACTGAGAGATGGGAAAAAAGAAACTCATTGACACATCAAGTAACTTGATAGGATGATTCACCTGGCATGAGGCAGAGTCAGAATTCATAGCCCCCAGGGTCTGGCTCTGAATTCTGGGACACTTTCCCAAGCCAGGCAGCGTCTCCTGGCAAACACTCTCCTGGGGTATGAAGTGGTGATATCCTGTATAGGCCTTAGGACTATGGGACTCATGGCTTCCCTGGTACTGGGAATTTAAAGCATATATATGTCAAAGATTTAAAATATCATATCTGAATATAATTGCATAAAATATGAGGCATAAGACCCTGAGGTCATCATAGAAATGTGACCAAATACTAAAAAGTTTGAATTAAATTAGAAACAGTAGGATGAAGAATTAATAGATAGTGTTTACTCTGTGCCAAGAATCGATCTAGGAGATTTAGAAGAAACATGTCCTGTAATTCATTGCAGCAACATACAGAGGTAGATATTATTATAATGTGCAATGAACAGATGAGGAAACTGAGACACAGAGAAGATAGGCTACTTGGATGGAGCCTAGGAGACTGGCCTAGGCTCCCTGCTCTGCATATAACATTGCTACCTCCCCAAGGTCTTATGTGCTGTCTTTCTTCGTCTTTAGAGAAAGAGCCTGTGCCCCAGGAAACAGGACTTTCCTCTCCCCAGTGTGCTCCCTGCTCTTCATGCTGTTACTTATGGATGCCACTGTTACTATTGAGAGCAGTCTCCTCTTTAAGCTCCTTAAAAGAGGTAGTCTCTACTGTTGCCACATTTCCTTCGGGGTTCCCTGAAGAGAGATTTGCCTATTGGAACTCTAAGAAGCTTAAACGAATGGCCGTTCATTAGCTCCAGGCATTTAGACCAACAGACTAGAAGTTATTTGTCTGCAGGATCTTCTAGGGTACAGAGAGCATTCTCTTAAACAAGATTGCACATCTTGCTGAGAAAAGCAAGTGGTTCTGTGCCTGTGTCAGAGGTCAGTAAGCAGGAATTTAACTCTAGTCCGACCTCACATTGGACTGCTAATGTGGAAAAGTTGCTAAATACGTTGTGCCTCTGTTTACCATCCTTAACACAATGAAGTGAAAATACCCATTTCTGTTTGACTAGAACTAAGGAAAGGATGAAATTAATTTTGAAGAGACTGTTTTGTATCCCAGGGAGAAGGCAGGTGCTGATTCATCACTTTCGTGGTGGTGAATCTACAGAACTTACTGTATTTGTGGAGTTGCTTGGCCAGAGAGTAGGCAGTAGCTTGACTTATAAGAAATTTCTCCTTCAGGTCTTCAAACTGCAGATGGCGCTCTGAGAGCTGGAAGTGCAAATATTTGTTGCTTTCTTGGATTTCCATCTCTGCCCTGTCATGGGACAAATGTGCGGCAGTTACCAAAATGCTGATGTTTGTGGCAGGAGAATTCAAACAGGGACTGGGGAGAAGAAACCCAAGCACATGATGGATCAAAAACTAGTGAAATCAACTAGGTTTAGTCAGGACTGAGGGATGACAACAGCTGGAATTGTTGACCTAGTGTTGCTAAGAACTTAATCAACACCCCACAGCACTTCAGAATCCTTAACAGCAACAACAGCATTTAGGATGCCTTAGCATCCTAAACAGTCAGTTTGGAGGTGACTCTGACTAAGAGTAAATGGGCGGTGAACACACACCATTTTGAGTGTATGAAATGCTGCTGGGTGGTTCATTTTCTTTTAATGAAGTTTGGATATGCAGATTTCAACTCAACAATTAGTTGTTTTAAGAAGAGAAAACAAAGCTCAAGAAACAATTGTGCAACCCATAACTTGCTATGATTACTGTTCTCTGTTTTATGAGTGTTTGTGTGAAATGTGCCTGCCATGGAAATGCCTGCCCTTGTCCTGGCCCAGCTTAGCTCCTGCTTCTCCCAGGTGAACCGCTGCACTTCAGAATTCACACCCCTGCCCACCTGCCTGTCCCCACAGCGTCTGCTCACCTGAGCTCCTCCGCTTACCTGAGCTTCTCTGCCAGCTTCTCCTCTATGAACTGCACTTCATCCCTCAGCACAGAGTCTATGATGTCTTTGTCCTCTTCACACTCTGAGAAGAGACAGTCATGCCTGCCTCAGTGGAAGGCTGGACATGCTGGTGTGGTCACTGCCTGCAGGGCAGGTGGCAGTGTCTATCCCAAGGACAAAAGCATCCCCAGTACCAGATTGTAGTGAGGGCTTTTTTCATTTTTTCTTATCAACCTCCCAACTTGCTGGCATCTGACACTCTCCAACTGAGAGATGGGGAAAAAGAAACTCATTGACACATCGAGTAACTTGACAGGATGATTCACCTGGGATGAGGCAGAGTCAGAATTCATAGTCCCGAAGGTCTGGCTCTGAGTCCTGGGACACTTTCCCAACCTGGGCAGGCGTTCCTGTCAAATACTCTACTAGGGCATGAAGTAGTGATATCTCATAGGGTAGGAAAGGCTCTTCAGACTATGGGACTGATGGATTCCCTGGTGGAAAAATTGCTAATTATGTTGTGCCTCTGTTTTGCATCCTTAACACAATGAAGTGAAAATACCCATTCCTGTTTTTCTAGAGCTAAGGAAAGGATAAAATTAATTTTGATGAAGAGATTGTTCAGTATCTCAGGGAGAAGACAGGTGCTGATTCATCACTTTCATGATGGTGATTCTATAGAACTTACTGTATGTGTTGAGTCGCTTGGCCAGAGAGTAGGCAGTAGCTTGACTTATAAGAAATTTCTCCTTGAGCTCTTCAAACTGCAGTTGGCTCTCTACCAGCTGGAATTGCAAATCCTCATTGATTTCTTGGATTTCCATCTCTGCCCTGTCATGGGACAAATGTGCAGCAGTTACCACCATGCTGATATTTGTGGCAGGGGAATTCAAACAGGGACTGGGGAGAAGAAACCCAAGCACTAGTGAAATCAGCTAAGTTTAGTCAGGACTGAGGGATGACAACAGCTGGAACTGTTGACCTAGTGTTGCTAAGAACTTAATCAACACCCCCCACAGCACTCTAGAATCCTTAACAGCAACAACGGCGGTTAGGACGCCTGAGCATCCTAAACCGACAGTCCGGAGGTCACTCTGACTGAGAGTAAATGGGCGGTGATCACTCATCATTTTGAGTGTATTAAATGCTGCTGGGTGGTTCATTTTCTTTTAATGAATTTTTTATATGCAGATTTCAACTCAACAATTAGTTGTTTTAACAAGAGAAAACAAAGCTCAAGAAACAACTGCAACCCATAACTTGCTATGATTACTGTTCTGTTTTATGAGTGTTTGTGTGAAATGTGCCTGCCATGGAAATGCCTGCCCTTGTCCTGGCCCAGCTTAGCTCCTGCTTCTCCCAGCTGAACTGCTGCACTTCAGAGATCACACCCCTGCCCACCTGCCTGACCCCACAGCGTCTGCTCACCTGAGCTCCTCCGCTTACCTGAGCTTCTCTGCCAGCTTCTCCTCTATGAACTGCACTTCATCCCTCAGCACAGAGTCTATGATGTCTTTGTCCTCTTCACACTCTGAGAAGAGACAGTCATGCCTGCCTAAGTGGAAGGCTGGACATGCTGGTGTGCTCACTGCCTGCAGGGCAGGTGACAGTGTCTATCCCAAGGACAAAATCATCCCCATTACCAGATTGTAGTGAGGGATTTTTTTCATTTTTCCTTATCAACCTCCCAACTTGCTGGCATCTGACACTCTCCAACTTAGAGATGGGAAAAGAAAACTCATTGACACATCAAGTAACTTGACAGGATGATTCACCTGGGATGAGGTAGAGTCAGAATTCATAGCCCCCAGGGTCTGGCTCTGAATCCTGGGACACTTTCCCAAGCCAGGCAGCATCTCCTGGCAAACACTCTACTGGGGCATGAAGTGGTGATATCCTGTATAGTAGAAAAGGCCTTAGGACTATGGGACTCATGGTTTCCCTGGTACTGGGACTTTCAAGCACATATATGTCAAAGGTTTAAAAAATCATATCTGAATATAATTGCATAACATATGAGGCATGAGACCATGAGATCATCATAGAAATATGACCAAATACTAATAAAATTTGAATTAAGTTAGAAACAGTAGGATGAAGATCTAATAGATAGTGTTTACTGTGTGCCAAGAATTGTTCTAGGAGATTTAGAAGAAAAACGTAATGTAATTCATTGCAGCAATTAATAAAGGTAGGTATTATTATAATATCCAATGAACAGATGAGGAAACTGTGGCACAGAGAAGATAGGCCACTTGGATGGAGCCCAGGAGACTGGCCCAGGCTCCCTGCTCTGCACGCGGCACTGCTACCTCCCCTATGTCTTCCGTGCCATCTTTCTTCCTCTTTAGAGAAAGAGCCTGTGCCCCAGGAAGCAGGACTTCCCTCTCCCCCAGGTACTCCCTGCTTTTCATGCTGTTACTTATGGATGAGACCATTACTCTTTGGAGCAGTCTTCTCTTTAAGCTCCTTAGAGCAGTTACTCTGTACTGTTGCCACATTTCCCCCGGGGTTCCATGAAGACAGATTTGCCTATTGGGCCTCAAAGAATCTTAAACGGAATGGCAGTTCATTAGCTCCAGGCATTTAGACCAACAGACTAGATGTTATTTGTCTGCAGGATCTTCTAGGGTACAGAGAACATTCTTGTGAACATGATTACACATCTTGCTGAGAAGAGCATGTGGTTCTGTGCCTGTGTCAGAGGTTAGTAAGCAGGATTTTAACTCTAGTTCCACCTCACATCAGACTGCTAAGGTGGAAAAGTTGCTAAATACGTTGTGCCTCTGTTTACCATCCTTAACACAATGAAGTGCAAATACCCATTTCTGTTTGACTAGAACTAAAGAAAGGATGAAATTAATTTTGATGAAGGGACTGTTCAGTATCTCAGAGAGAAGACAGGTGCTGATTCGTCACTTTCGTGATGGTGAATCTATAGAACTTACTGTATTTGTTGAGTTGCTTGGCCAGAGAGTAGGCAGTAGCTTGACTTATAAGAAATTTCTCCTTGAGGTCTTCAAACTGCTGTTGGCTCTCTGCCAGCTGGAAGTGCAATTCCTCACTGGTTTCTTGGATTTCCATCTCTGCCCTGTCATGGGACAAATGTCCGGCAGTTACCACCATGCTGGTGTTTGTGGCAGGAGAATTCAAACAATGACTGGAGAGAAGAAACCCAAGCACATGATGGATCAATAACTAGTGAAATCAACTAGGTTTAGTCTGGACTGAGGGATGACAACAGCTGGAATTGTTGACTTACAGTTGCGAAGAACTTAACACCCCACAGCACTTTAGAATTATTAACAGGAAAAACAGCGTTTTGTATGCCTGAGCTCCGAGCCGAAGGCCCTGCCTGTAGCTCTGTCTCTGACAAGAGTGAGGGAGATCAGAGCTAGTGTGCCAGGTAACTGTCTGCAGTTGCCATAGCAGAATTAGAAGGTGGGGGTGTCCTGGAATCTTAGGAGCCCTGCATTCCAGTTGCCCAGGTTGTGCTCAAACCCAAAGCCCCCTGGTCTCACCTGAGAGTCACTGATGGGGACCATTTCCTCAGCAGTCTGTCAGTATTTGTGCACCTTTGTGACAGTGCTGCAGACTCACCTCTTTCTCATTACATCTAAGCATATTCCTTGTTGTTCATCTTGTGTGTGCATAAAATCATCAAGGTAGAGATAGTTTCCCAAGAAGTTACATTTACCAATCCACTATTTACCAAGAATTTAACAAACGCCAGATGCTCTTTTTATATTGTTGGTAGTTCTTACAATGCTGTACAATTTTCATTCCCATTCAAAACTCCAAGAAGTCTGAGTCAAGGACCTGAACCCAAATCCATCAGATACCAAAGCTTATACTCTTAAAATGTGCATGTAACACAGTCAAAAAAAATTCTTACTCCGTTTATGTATAAGGCTTTTGTATACATACAGTATATATGCAATGCTTTTGTCACATTAAAATTTTATGTTGAGGGAGCATTTAGAAAAAGAATCTCTGAAAAGATTCATTACGAAGGCAATAATGAAAAAAGGTTGAGTGATACCATCTTAGTAGAACTTGGAGTTCTGAAAGTATGTTACTGGTGCGGCACTTTTACTGGTGTGGTTCTGTCATCAAAAACTCACCTGAGCCTGCACGTGAGTTCTCGCCAAAGCCAGTGGGTAGCTGGCCAGCTGACCACAGGTGCTGGATAAGGTACCACATCCCAGCAACACCATGACTCCGGGGTTTACAGAGTCTTTTGCAAAATCACCCAGCCAATAGGATTTAAAGAGCTGCCAGATAAATAAAAAAGAAAAATAATAAACAATGAACTCTACAACTTCACTCGATGTAAACACTTTCACAGCTATTCTCAACCTCATGAGAATCCCCATTTCTGCAGGATGGGGCTGCAGGTTCACAGAAGCAGCAGGCACTGTAGGAAGCAGTGGTTCTGTTGAGACGTAGGAGACCACTGAGGATGCAGAATACATGAGGTTTGCACCAGTTACTCGTTCTTCTAAACAAACATGAACTGCATACCAAATGCCACAGGATCTAAAGAACACCTCTCATGGTGAGCATTAATGAAATAATTCTACTAACTGCATCTCATTTTGTACTTTACATACATTTCATTTGGGTCTTACAAAAACGCTGACATAAGTCTATTATTCTGGTTTTAGAAACGAAGAAAATTCATCTCAGCAGAGTTTTTTTTAAGAAGGACTCAGAATCAGGCATGCTGATGAAAAGGCCATGCTTTATTCCCTATTACTCTAGGTCCCTCTATAAAATATATATGATAATCAGTTTTTAAACATAAGATATTTTAAGTATAAAATGCATGTTAATATGTTATATGATTAGTAATCCCAGGACTCTGGGAGGCAAAGGCAGGCAGAGTGCCTGAGCTCAGGAGTTCATGACCAGCCTGGGCAACACAGTAAAACCCTGTCTTTACTAAAACACAAAAATTTAGCCAGGCATGGTGGTGTACACCTGTAATCCCAGCTACTTGGGAAGCTCAGGCAGAACTGCTTGAACCCAGGAGGCGAAGATTGCAGTAAGCCAAGATTGTGTCACTGCACTCCAGCCTGATCAATAAAGATTCCATCTCAAAAAAAAAAAAAAAAAAAAAAAAAAAAAAAAGACTAAAAATTTTCAATCCTACAGGACAGAATTAAAAAACTATCTCAATGTATTAAAAAATCCGTTAAGTGCATTTCTCAATGGAAATCTTGCAGGTTAGAAGGAAGTAGAATATTATATTCTAAGTTTTAAAATTCAAAAAACCACCAAACAAAAATACTGTATGAGCTAAACTGCCCTTCAGAAACAAAGGAGAAATTAAGACTGTCCCTGACAAACAAAAGTTGATGTGGTTTGTCACCACTAGACCGGCCCTACAGGAAAGATTAAAATGAGAAACAAAAGGTTGATAAATAACAATACAAAACCATATGAAAACAGGAAGCTCCATGGTACAGGTCAATATTTAGAATATTATAAAATTCTTTAGTATTGTAATGGAAGTATATAAATAACTTCAAAATCTAAATTTCAAAAACAATATTTAAACAGAATTTAAAGAAGAGAAGCGTAAAAAGTAACTATAAATCTCTGTTAAGGATATGCAATATCAAAAGACATAAAGTTGGTAGGGAGAAGATGAAAGATATAAAGGTTGGGAGGCCGAGGCAGGCAGATCACGAGGTCAAGAGATTGAGACCATCCTGGCCAACATGGTGAAACCCCGTCTCTACTAAAAATACAAAAATTAGCTGGGCATGGTGGCATGTGCCTGTAGTCCCAGCTACTTGGGAGGCTGAGGCAGAAGAATTGCTTGAACCCAGGAGGTGGGAGTTGCAGTGAGCCGAAATTGTGCCACTGCACTCCAGCCTGGCACCTGGCGACAGAGTGAGACTCTGTCTCAAAAAGAAAAAAAAAAAAAAAAAAAAAAAAAGAAAGAAAGAAAGAAAGATATAAAGGAACAGAGTTTTATATGCCACTGAAGTTAAGTTGTAAACAGTTTAAAATAGATTGCTATAACTTTGGTATGTTTTATGTAGTTACAATGGTAATTACAAAGATAGTATCTATAGAATGAACACAAATGGAAATGAAAAGGGAATCAAAACAAAAAAATCCAGGAAGAAAAGGAAAGACAAAAAAGCCACAAGACAAAACTGAAAGGCAGCTAGCCAAATGACAATGGTAACCCCTTCCTTGTCAGTAATTGCTTTAAGTATAAATGGATCAAATCCTCCAATTAAATTGCTGAGTGCATAACACACACAGAATCCATTACATCTTGTCTACAAGATTCACTTTGGATCTAAGGACACACATAAACTGAAAGTGAAAGGATGGAAAAAGATATTCCATAAAAACAGGAACCAAAGAGAACAGGGGTGGCCACACTTATATAAAAAAAAAAAAAAATAGATTTTAAGACACACACTGTCACAAGAGACAAAGATAGATATTATATAATGATAAAAAGATCACTTTACCAGTAAGACATAATATCTATGACTATATGTGTCCCTAATATTAAGCTCCTAAATATATGAAGCAAACATTAATAGAATTGAAGGGAGAAAAAACAGCAACACAGTACTAGTAGGAGACTTCACTACCCCATTCAACAGTGTTGGGGAGGACGTGGAGAAATTGGCATCTTGGAGTACATTGATAGGAATGTTAAAAAAAAGAAAGTATATTCACCACAAAAAATGACAAGGAGGATCCTCAAAACTTGAAAACAGAATTACCATCTGACCTAGAAATTCCACTTCTGAGTATATGTCAAAAAGAACTGAAAACAGTATCCTGAATAGATATTTGCATAACCGTGTTCACTGCAGCACTATTCACAATAGCCATGATATCAAAACAACTAAATGTCCATTAACAGATGAATAAAGAAAATGTGATATATATATATACGCAATGAAATATTATTCTGCATTAAAAATGAAAAAAAAAAGATCCTGTCACATGCTATAACATGGATGAATCTTGAGTAAATTATGTTACGTGAAATAGAAATACCAGTCGCAGAAACAGAAATACCACATGATTTCACTTATATGGGGTATTTAATGTAGTCAAACTTATAACAGAGAAAGTAGGTTACACAGTGCTGGGATGAAGGGGAAATTGGGAGCTGTTGTTTAATGAGTTTAAGTTTTGCAAGATAAAAAAGTTCTAGAGATGTGTTGCACAAAAAACCACAAACAGTTAACACTACTGTACTATATATTTTAAAATGGTTCAAATGATAAACTTTGTTATGTGTTTTTAATCATAACTTTAAAAAAAAATTCAGCACAAGAAGTAAAGTCCTAAACCATGATACCATTTCACACCTAAGAGGATAGCTATAATAAAAATAAGCTTTTTAAAAAAGGAAATTAAGTGTTAGTAAGGGCAGGGAAAAACTGGAACCTTTGTATGTTGCTGATGAGAATGTAAAATGGTGCAACCACTAAGAAAAACAGTCTGATAGTTCCTAAAAGCTAAACACAGAATGACCACATGGCTCAGCAATTCCATTCCAAGGTAAATATCCAAGGAATTGAAGGCATAGACTTGAACAGATATGTAGATGTCAATGTTCACTGTAGCATTATTCACAACATTCAAAAAGTAGAAACAATACAAATGTTCTTCAATAAATGAAGGACTAAACAAAATATGGTGTATACACACAATGGAGTATGATTCAGCCATTAAAATAAACGAAGTTGTGATACATGTTACAACATGAACAAGCCTTAAAGACATTGTGCTAAGAGAAACAAATCAGACACAAAAGGAAAAATACTGTATGTTTCCACTTATAAGATACCTGGAATGGGTAAATTCCTAGAGACACAAAGCAGATTAGAGGTCACCAAGGGTTTGGGTTAGGGAGGATAGGAAATTGTTGCTTAAAGGTTAAGGTGTTTCTGTTTGGAGTGAGGAAAAGGATTTGGAAATAGGGTTGTGGGCTGCACAATACTGTGAATGTAATCAATACCACTGAACTGTATACTTAAAAGTAAAATGGCAAATTTTATATTTTATCATAATTTTTAAAATTATGTAAGAAGCCAAGAACCATTTGCTTACTCATTTCAAATGAGTGAAATGTAGGGAATATGAGCTAAATCTCAATAAAGCTCCTTAACAAAAAGTCAAGTCTTCTTTTCATTACACATTTCCCCCTTCCTGGATGCCATAGCTTGGGTCCTATCCTAGCATGCGACCTGGCTCATGTCCGTGGCAGCCTAGCTAAACACACTGGGTTTTAGTTATTCGTCTGCTTCCCCCACCAGACCTTCAGTTTCTTCAAGGCACACACTGAGTCTTTTGAATCCCTAGATCTAGTGTCTAACCCAGTGGTTTGCATAGTGTGTGCTCAACACATGTTTGTAAGATTCATAAATTATTAAATGATTTAGATGGCAGGGTTGATCCAAGATTCACATTCTTTTATTCCTTGTATGACTCACGTGAGTAACTAATTGTATTACTCACATTAGTCACATTAGTCACTTGGCTTAATGTCAGATTTTTGCAAATCCAAAACAAAGGAACTTATTTGCTTATTGTGTCTTCCCTAAAAACAGTCACTAGAATCACCTTTTAAGGTGAACAACTATACCTAACCTTGAGTTTACTCTTCATTAACAAAAGCAATTCCCAAGGAAATTTAATACAAAAGTGACCCGATGTATATTCACACTTAAGTTACTTGAAGGTTCAAATAACACATGTTGAATTTACTTCTGGTCACAAACTGTTTTCTGGTTTATATCCACTTCATCATATAAAGTCAGATTCTAACAGGAGCTATTTAACTGCATTTTCAGATTCAAAAGATTGCTATAAACTCACTGCATACACAGCAAGATCTATGCCTGCATAAGGTATGACACCTAATAAATTGGGAACATAGCCTTTGTAAAAAGCTCCCAAGCCTTCATGTTTCAAAATCTTCTTGGCACAATCATATATTCCAGAGTATTGCCCAGTTTTCCCTACAGCCAGCCTGGTTTTTATAACCTGGATATAAAATAACAAAATATTATTATACATATTAACTCTATCATCATGGAATTCAAATGAAGTAATTTTACACAGAATGTATACCTAGCATATATCATCACTCAATTGACTGTACAATTTGTTGATACATTCTCCCTCAGGTGTTACCTCTATTGAGGGGCTAGGACCACAGCCAGAGACACCATTTACTGCAAGTAGTATCTGACAAAAAAAGCAACCAAGGAAATGGAGGCAAGATAATCTGCTGATGTCTTAACAAAAATGACTGGTGACCACTTGTGTCTGGAAGGTGAGGGAAATGGTAGTACAAACACACTATGGGGCAGTGGAGAGTTCGGAAGGTGATCCTATTAACTGATATGGAGGATATAAAAGGAAGAATAGGTATTAAGAGATTTTTTTGAGAGGTGTGTGGACTACTATAAGCAATCGTATTAAGATGCTTGCAAAGAAAGCTATATCAGCATGCATACCACACGTTGGTGAAAGTTGTATTTATCTTGCTTAAGTCTTATCAGTTACTAAAAAACCCTCTGCTATATTAATAAATTCCACGTCTACAATACTATTTTTGCTGTAAAGCAGTGGTTAGAAAACTTTTTCTGTAAAGACTGAATAATAAAATATTTGTCTTTGTAAGCCTAAAATATTAGGTCTTTGTTGTATATTATTTTTCTGTTCCTTTTGCCCATTTTTTGATTATTATACTTCAAGTTCTGGGATACATGTGCAGAGTGTGTGTGCAGGCTTGTTGCATAGGTATACACCTGCCATGGTGGTTTGCTGCACAAATCAACCCGTCATCTACATTATTTCTCCTAATGCTATCCCTCTCCTTGACCCCCACTACCTGACAGACCCCAGTGTGTGATGTTCTCCTCCCCTTGACCACATGTTCTCATTGTTCAACTCCCACTTATGAGTGAGAACATGTGATGTTTGGTTTTCTGTTCCTGTGTTCATTTGCCGAGAATGACGGCTTCCAGTTTCATCCATGCCCCAAAAAGGACATGAACTCATTCTTTTTTATGGCTGCATAGTATTCCATGGTGTATATGTGCCATATTTTCCTTATCCAGTCTGTCACTAATGGGCATTTGCATTGGTTCCAAGTCTTTGCTATTGTAAATAGTACTGCAATAAACAAACACGTACATATGTCTTTATAGCAGAATGATTTATAATCCTTTAGGTATACACCCTGTAATGTGTCAAATAGTATTTCTGGTTCTGGATCCTTGAGGAATCGCCACACTGTCTTCCACAATGATTAAATTAATTTACACTCCCACCAACAGTGTAAAAGCATTCCTATTTCTTCACATCCTCTCCAGCATCTGTTGTTTTCTTTTTAATGGTCAACATTCTAACTGGCATGAGATGGTATCTCATCATGTTTGTGATTTGCATTTCTCTAATGACCAGTGACGATCAGCTTCTTTTCATACGTTTGTTGGCTGCATAAATGTCTATCATTTGCCCACTTTTTGAGGGGTTGTTTTTTTTCTTAAAAATTTGTCCAAGTTTCTTGCATATTCTGGGTATTAGCCCTTTGTCAGATGAACAGATTGCAAAATTTTTCTCCCATTCTCTAGCTTGCCTGTTCACTCTGAAGGTAGTTTCTTTTGCTGTGCAGAAGCTCTTTAGTTCAAATGGAACTCATTTGTCAATTTTGGCTTTTGTTGCCATTGCTTTTGGTGTTTTAGTTATGAAGTTTTTGGCCATACCCATGTCCTAAATGGTATTGCCAAGGCTTTCGTCTACGGTTTTTATGGTTTTAGGTCTTATATATAAGTCTTTAATCCATCTTGAGTTAATTTTTGTATAAAGTGTAAGGAAGGGGTCCACTTTCGATCTTCTGCATATGGCTATTCAGTTTTCCCAAAACAATTTATTAAATAGGGAATCCTTTCCCCATTGCTTGTTTTTGTCAGGTTTGTCAAAGATCATATGATCGTGGATGTGTGGCGTTATTTCTGAGGCCTCTGTTCTGTTCCACTGGTCTATATCTCTGTTTTGGTACCAGTACCATGCTGTTTTGGTTACCGTAGCCTTGTAGTATAGTTTGCAGTCAGGTAGCATGATGCCTCCAGCTTTGATCTTTTTGCTTAAGATTGTCTTGGTTATGTGGGTTCTTTTTTGGTTCCATATGAAATTTAAAGTAGTTTTTTCTAATTCTGTGAAGAAAGTCAATGGTAGCTTGATAAGGATAGCGCTGAATCTATAAGTTACTTTGGGCAGTATAGCCAGTGATGGGTTGTGTCTTTCCTCCACAGGGCTGGATCATTCAGAGTTCAGCTCACACTGAGGCACTGGCTATGTAACCCGCTAAAGCCCTCTGGGTTTGTTGGGGTTGGTAGGAACCCACCCAGTACCACCGTCTGTCTTCCAGCTTTCAGCTCCCTGTATCTCCAGGCAGGGGGAGGGGGTGATAGCTCGGTCTGCAGGGTTTCCTGGCTGGCTTATGGGCTTATGCATTTGCTTAGATCTGTGCACCAATCAGGGACATCGTCCTAGATTATTCTTCAGCTCTGCGCTTGTAGTTCCCAGCGCTTGACTGGCAAAGATCACCTGTTCCGT